AGCACAATGACTTTAGAAGACTTCATTTATAATGCCGCATCCCGTTTTGGCTATACAGATTTCAGCAGTAGCACGAGCGCTGCAACGTTGGCACATGTAGCAATCCTTGTAAGTGATACCGCTAGCCTGGTATCAACTTTATTGATTAGAATCAATTCTATGTACCAGCGCCGCTTTGCACTTGATAACCCAAAGCTCCTTGGCCGTGAAGGTGCTGAATGTGAAAACGACGATGATGACATCCATATCCAGGCCGACACACCCGAGTTCGATACCAATTCCTCAGCTTCGTCGCGGCCCACTAGTGCTGCATCAGCTGTACCTCCAGCTACCTCGAGGAAGCGGAAGCGTGTCGCTTCTTCGCATACCACACGGTCAATCGTTCCAAAGGGTGGTGCAGACTTCTGGTCCCAGGTCGAGAAATGGTTTGCGGCACGTGTCAAAGCCGACACATTGGGTGAGACCTGGTCCTCAAAGGGGTGGAAGGAGTGCGTCTTGTCTTCTATCTGTGTTGTTCTCTACTCATCGTTTGACTATCATAGCTATATTGCCAAGATTATTGACGAAGACCACAAGACCTTCACGCCAGAGCCCACACACGATGCATACATCCCCACCGGTACCCCAGATGTGAGCACAGATGATAGAGCAGGACCATCAGTGCAGCGGGACAGTGTTGCTAGCAATTCATTCGGCGGTGCAGGGACCTTTGCGCAGATCTTTCACCATACTTCCACATTGTAGCTACTATGCGTAGACTACAATTTTTCATAGCTTTAATACATCGCGTTGTCTGTTCGCCATAGATCTGCACCTGAGCACCGCTCATGGCTCCGACTCCAATGTATAGCTCACCCGCACAAGGGTGCTCAAATAGCATGCGCTCATGGACATCACTCAGTCATTCAGATGGATATCCGAGAGTGCACTTGTGGTTTAAACACTCAAACCCTTGCCCTGTCACTTGGCAGCCCATTGGCCACTACACACTCAAACTCATAGCATTGTGGAGATGCCTGCATGTGCACATATCACCGCCAGCGCCAGACCATCATCCGATAGACAGCATATAAGTAGGAGCGCTTCCGATGACAGGCCCCGGGTGAATCTGGTGCCATGGCATGTCAACCTCAGGACGTCTCATAACCAAACGACCGACTGGCAATAGAATTTACCGAGGCTGAGTCGGGTGTTTCCACAGTCAACCTGAATGATGCCGCCCTCAGCAATTGTTATCATTGGCCCAGCTGAACAAGATACGAAACAGGAGCTTAACAGTTTCACCCGCTAACATAATCGCACACCCTCTATTGACCGACCGACCAATCAAGAATCTGTCCCCTGACAATTTTAATTGCCGCTTCCAGACTGATACGGCCTCAACTTAACCGCTCCCAGGACGGCCCCAGTGCACTTAGCCGAGGTGGGGGTGTAGACACGCATCGGCGTTACCCGGAGCTATGTAAGCATCATCACGCGCACGTGTAAAGCGCGCCAAGTTGTCAGTCGCGTGGCGCCGCACGTGGTGAGAATGGGCGCAGCTTCACAACTTCACAAGTCCACACCGTCTCAGCGTGTGACCGGTGACCACGCTTTCTCTTGCTACTGCACTTCACATCACTAGCCAGCAGCAGCAATGCTCGAAGATACCTCGCCGCACTCAGTCTTTACAGCAACCTCCGCCGCATCCCTCGCAGGTGTCGCGGCCATCGCCGTCACCGCGTCGACCGCGGCGCGTGCGCTACTTCCCAAGGGCGCGCCGTGGCAAGATCGTGCAACTTTCATCTGGCTTGTACGCGTCGTTATCTCGCCGCTCGGTCCGCTCGCTTACCAGTGACATCCTCTGCGATTAGACCTTCGACGCGCTCATCCACTTCATTTTCGAGGGTAGCTTCCTCTGGCTGTCCACGTTTGGACGTACTGTGGACACGAGCGTGGGGCCGCTTGCTCAGATGTGTGAGTCAGAGCGCGCTTCTGTGTGTATCTGCTCTGATGGTTCTCCTCGTACAGGGCGCGAATATGCCGCTGCCGATTCCCGGTGGGGCACTGCTGATCCCACCGTCGTGTCGCTCGAGATCCTCACCGTGCTCGGAGCCGGTCCCATGGCAGCCTACATCGTGTACCAGATTGTCAAGAATGACCCTGCGCGGCACTACTGGATCATCGTGCTGAGCACGGCCGAGCTTTATGGCGGGTGCGCGTGACCATTTCTCTTGTACAAACCAAACGCTGATGCGCTCACCAGATGGATGACGTTCTGTCCGGAATGGCTTACTGGCAGCCCTAGCCTCGACACCTCGAATGCTCTCTTTTTCTGGGTGTACCTTGTTGTATGTCCCTACGTTATACTACCTGCTTTCTTCTTCGTGACTAACTCATCATTCTTCATGGCAGTTTATGAACACGATGTAAGCTCTGCGTTCAAATCATTTGCCTCGGCTCTGCTGACGTGGCTTCGCGTAGTTGGGTCATCATACCTTTATGGCTCATGTACGACTCGTATACGCGCATCGCGAGCTCGTTGCGTCTCGCTCAGGCTGGCAAGCTGAAGGCAGCATGAGCCTCAACGCACTCGGGCCGTCTTGCCGTTACTGATCTATTACCTTCATACCTTTGCTTGCTGTCGGGTACTGTTCACGCCGTATTTCGCAATGACACAGCTATGCTCGACTCACCGTCCTCTCCGTGTACGTCAGACCCCTTGAGATGTCCCGCATCACATATGGAGTACTGCATCAAACACAAGCTCACCTCGCGAAGCAGTCGCTCGAAAAGTTAATCTCAGCGGTCTTCTAGTTCTAGAAAGAGTACGACCGTGTCTCGATTTCTAGGAGGGTATAGGGCACCGGATTGGTTGTCCATGCAGGTTAATGCGGGGCAGGGAAGAGCAGAGGGTAATGTTGCATTCCCGACACCGCTCCATTACGGCGGTGTTGGCCAAGTGTTAGCTCCGAGACTTCAGTTTTACAGTAAATCGATGGTATTAGCATCTTGTTCACAGGCACACTGACCCGTGTTAGGCTTCCGGCTAGCCCAGACTGACAACCTCCAGCCATGACCATGTTGCAAGCATGCCACCCATTCCCGACCTTGTGAGGAGCCGAGTCCATCAAGGACCTACAAATTTCTCTCATTCCAGTCAAGTGACATTGTTGCCTCCTTAGCTAATTCACGAACCCGCTCAGCTCTGCTGTAACCGTATCATCTAACTGTTTCCTTTGTCGTACTGATGCATGTCCGCTCAGTTCAAATTTTCATCCCTCTGCGACTCATGTGCGGCTCACGCGCGCGTCACCAGCCTCCTGTACCTTGTCTAGGCTGGCAACCCTCGTACACTGAAGTGGATTCCAGCGGTCCTCCGGCACCTGCTACACTAAGATGCACAATACCGTGACTAATCATCTCCCGGAACCAATCGAGCGCTCGGTCCGTGCTACACCAGGGCGTTCGTTGAACACGCCGTACACAGCCACGGCAGGAACAAGGCCGGGGCTGTGCTCACGGGGTGGTGAAGAGACGGCCCCGGCGGGCTTGTGCACCTATACCCGCAGCGACCCGCGCAGGGGCCGCATCCGCTGCAGTTCCGAGTACCGGCGTCTTCCAATACAGCTTCTCGGGTCGTGTGCCTGCCTTGGGTACTGGACTTAAGCCGCGTCCTCTCTGGGCTGGAGTAGCTGGACTAGATCAGCACCGCACATTCCAAGACGCGGCTTCGGCTACCAGTGGTGCGCACCTGAGTCCCTCGCCCTGGTCCTCTTCTGGCTCCTGCGTTGCGTCGCATGGACCTGGCCTTGGGTGCGGCTTTTTGTAGCATGGTTCCGCGTTTTCAGCCCACTGCCTCTGAACACGGTTCACCTTCGAGAGGATCGTACCGTCAGGGTCTAGAAAGTTCCAGATGCACCTCCTGTTCTCTCATACGGCGGTGCGCTGGGCGTCGGAGTTCGTATTACTCGGGTGCACTAGTGGATATGAACGCGAGCGAAGAGAGCACACGCGACGCCAGTATAGACTGTGCCCTAGGCCGGGCTCAGTGGTGGTGCCAGGACTGCAAAGCGGGGTTCTTGTGGACAAATAGCGCTGGAAATGTGCCATGACGTCGAGCATCTTCTTGGTGGGCATGTATAGCGAACAAAGAAGCGATATACACTTTGATGCGGGAGGACATCACGGAGAAGCGGCGCGGACTTGCCAGCAGAAGAGCGTATCAGCACCCGTTGCCTTGCACGCATGAAATCGGCGCCCAAGGCCTATCTAGAAGATGGGATACTAATGCCCCATCGGAAGGGCAGGCATGCGAGCGTGCCTCGTCGAGCCTGTGTTGATGCCGGGCAGGATGAGGAGGGGTGGTAATTAGATCTCTCGCCCTGCCACCTGTCAATTTGTCTCATAAAGCAGACTCCGGGAAGGAACGACAACTTCCGGCCCGATGCAAAAGCGAGCAGGGTCGCTGAAATCGTGACGCGACCTCCATGCGGGAGCAAAGCCGTGTCCAGGCAGAATGATTAACCAGAATTGTGTATTATCAAACTCCAAGAACGCCGCCGGAAAAACTGGGGGGCGAGATCTCGAGGCCCAGGAATCCTGGACAGGGCACTACCTGGGACTACAAGTGGAAAAAACAATAAAGAAACAACTATGCGATGCGGATTCCGATGGTGAATGTTTGTCTCCAATCACCTAGGTGTGCCTTGTCGAAAGAACCAAACCGGCGTGATCAGTGGCTACGCGCCTAATGAAGGTGGTCGACTTCTTAGAGCGGAGTCGGGGTGGGCTTGTGACCGTTGCCGTCCCAAGGTCAGATATGTACGTTGGCTAGATTTTGGGACGAGCTGATTACCACATCTTCCGCGGGTAGTGGACATGATGGTTCGTACTATGGGCGGCGGTATAGCGTCTCGGAGTGGCAGAACATGAGACTTCACCATACTACGGCGGCCACTGGGGTGTACGTTCAATCACGCCTCGACGTTCGTGGGAGAGCAATTCGACATCGGAAAATAGACTTCGTAGCTCAGCGGTAGAGCGTCTGATTCCAGTCCAGAAGGTCATCCGTTCAATCCGGGTCGAGGTCATTTTTTCGAATTCAAGGAGGTAAGAATCTCAGAAGCAGTGAGCATCACATGTATCGGACGAATGCGTCGAATGTAATTTCCTCGGCAAGCTGCCCCTGCAGAGCCCTGCAGTCGTTGAAAGCCCTGCGTGATGTAGCACAGAGGCTCGTGAGTTGAAGCGGCTCGGTCGAGAGGCGGACGCTATCAATCAACGTTATCAACATGAGGCGTAAATGCATACTGAGAAGAGATACACCGGCGGAAATCACGCGCTGTTAGAAGAGTGCGCCTGTGGGAGAGGCCTTGGCGGTTCAACGTCTCTTTCGAGCACATCGATAGTACCTCTCATTAGTGCAATTTGGACGTGGATGGCTTTGACTGACGAGGAAGGCACGTACTTTTCAGCCTCGAAGCTCAATTGGAAGTGTCGCGAGATGCCTCCACGCGTGACCGCCGCTAACCGATCGCGAGCATGTACGTTGGTCCACAATACATTTAAGCGGGCCAATTGGTACGTTGGATCGGATAGCACACTTCATCGAAGGATTACAGCTCTACAGATAGACTTCTCAGTATGATGAATGCCGCAGTTGTGCAGGGTGACTTATGGCGCCATGAGGACAAAGAGGGCGCTGGGTCGTACCCTAAATTCTAGATGTCCAAGAGAAGACCGTTGGGGACTTTTGGGGACGAGCGCTATCTGGGTGCAGCTGATACACGCTATGATACAATTGATGGTCCACAGGGCTGCTTCGCTGGCAGGTCAATGAGAGAAGAGTGTGATACATTCAACGCTCCAATGGGACTTAACCGATTCCAACGTAATGAGGGAGCTGGAACGGTTACAATACGGAGGCGACTCCATACGTCTGGTCAGATGCGACTAGATTCCCAAGCGGACAAAAGTGAAGGAGCCGATTGCCAGAGCTGCAGCCTGACCGGTGAGCATTGAAGCAGGCGGAAAGCACGGCCTTCTGCATTTTGACTTCACACTCTCAGCAGATCCTGTGTAATTCGGAAGATTGTCGGCTTCTGGAAGAGCATGCCGGTAAGGTACGAAGGAGCTTCAGGTACGAGAATCGGCTGCATTGCGTCGACTGAAATGAGTTTCAGCATTCAACCCAGGCAAGAGGGGAGCGAAAGCTGCCCAATACATTTTTGCGGGAGTCTGGTGACGAGGGGTTTGCAACAACGCAAGCGACATTCGCAGCCAGATGATCTTTGCCCGGGTGCAATTAATCAGGGCGTATGGTGTTGCAGACCTCGATGGCGCCTAGGACGCGTGGTGCGAAGGTCACACGGCCAACACAAGGCCAAAAAAAGATATGCTTGTCCAAACTTTGCGTCGGGTTGCTTCTTTCGGTCTATCATTCGTGACAGAGTCTGTTGACCTGTAAGCTCGCGCGTCTTAGAAGACAATTGCGGATCGGGCTGGAACGCTGTTCGTTGGAGTACTGTAAAGCCCTACGACGAGCCGGGACGCGGAAACGCCGGCCTCTTGCCCCTCGATTACGGGAGGTAGCATCATCGAGTGGTGTAGTGGGTGCTGTAGTGAAAACATGGGCGGATCAGGACAGGTGGCGGTCAAAGTTACGGGAGAGGAGGGACTGGAAAATGTGACCGCCCGAGGCGCATCGGAGCCGCGATGGTGGCTCCGGTCACCGGCGCGTACGGCGAACGTAATTTTGTACTCCCACGCTGAGTTTGGAGAAGTCTGTCGGCTTTCAGGGCACCTGCCTCTTGAGAGAAAGCTTGACCATGCTTCAACCCAACTCCAGGTGCAATCGAAGAAGACGCAGGCGGAAACCTTCCAGCTAAACTCGGGCCATGTCAGCTGGACTTCCACATCCCCGCCTTCCCCGCATTCGAAGGCCCATAAAAGCCTCGCAATTGGGTTCGCCTCCTTCACCACCAGGTTCACCCCCCGCGACCCTCGCAGGACCTGCTGTCTCAGCTTCTCCGTGATCATGGGTGTCAACGTTGTTGCTCAAGGACGAGAGACCAGCTACCACCATCTCCTCGACCCCAATAGGAAATGGTACAACAATCGACGGTACGTACTGAGCTCTTTGATCCTCTGGCTATAGCCTCTCATACACCTCATAGCTTGATCGCCCTCCATGGGTGGATCTTCCTGCTCTTGATCACGTCCTCTAACAATGGCTACGATGGTTCGATGATGAACTCACTCCAGGCTGAGAAGACATGGACTGCCTATTTCAATCACCCGCACGGTGGTCAACTTGGTCTGCTCAACGCCATCCAGGTGCGTGTCTAGCATCGACCAATGCAATAACGCTATCTCACCTAGCGCTCAGAATATTGGCAGCTTGGCTGCGTACCCCTTCGCACCCTACTTGTCCGATGGAATCGGCCGTCGCAAAACCATTGCGGTTGGCGCCTTCATTATGCTTGCTGCCACTGCTATCCAGACCGCTGCTCGCTCTGTCCATATGTTTATCGGTGCTCGGTAGGTTCTGATTCCCATGTCGGTCCATCCAGTTCCTAAAGGTTTCTCAGTTTCCTCATCGGGTTCGGCCTCACATTCGCCGCTAATTCCGCTCCTATGCTGGTCACGGAGATTGCTTATCCGTTATACCGCGCTCCACTCACATCCCTCTACAACTCACTTTGGTATTCCGGCGCTATCGTGTAAGTGCCACGCCAAACCCCGCCTCAGTTGCATGACATCCGACTTCCTTTCAGTGCAGCCTGGACCACATTCGGAACAGAGTTCATGTCGAGCACATGGTCGTGGCGCCTCCCATCACTACTGCAAGGTATGCCAGCGCTGGCCCAAGTCTTCCTGATCTGGTTCGTGCCGGAATCGCCTCGTTGGTTGATCTCCAAGGGCCGCGACGCTGAAGCTCTCCACACTCTCGCTTATTACCACGCCGACGGAGATGAGTACGTGACTTCTCTGTATCAAATCTTGCGCAGGATCTGATCTGGGCCCAGACGCGATCCCCTCGTTGTCTACGAGTTCGAGGAAATCAAGGCCGCAATCGAATTCGACAAGACGCAGAATGTCGGCTGGAAGTCCCTCATCCAGACCCCCGGCAATAGGAAGCGTATGCGGATCATCGTTGCCCTTGGCTGGTTTTCTCAATGGTCCGGCAATGGCCTCGTCTCTTATTACCTCACGCAAGTGCTCAACAACATTGGCATCACGAACACGACAATCCAGCTTCTTATCAACGGTATCCTGCAAATCTGGAACTTGTTCTGGGCTTGCGGTTCCGCTTTCCTCGTGGAGAAGTTCGGTCGCCGTTTTCTCTTCCTCGCATCAACCTTGGGCATGCTTCTGTTCTTCACGATGCAAACAATCATGACTGCTCTGTACCTCGAGCATGGTAGTGCCGGTACCGCGCACGCCGTCATAGCGTTTATCTTCCTCTTTTATGCTTCTTATGAGTAAGTCTAAACTTCGCGAGACCCCGTCCCTGGCTGACGTGCCATCTACAGTATTGCATTCACGCCCCTCATCGTGTCCTACACTGTTGAGATTCTGCCCTTCAACCTTCGTGCAAAGGGCTTCAACGTGTTCAACTTTACGATTTCATGCGCGCTCATCTTCAACCAATACGTCAACCCCATCGCCTTGGAACACATTTCCTGGAAGTACTATGTGCGTCGCGATTCGTATTTCTACTGGCCCTTTCTAACGCCGTGCTTGCAGATCGTATACTGCTGCTGGCTTGTGTTCGAGGTCGTATACGTCTACTTCTTTATCATCGAGACAAAGGGCCTCTCTCTCGAGGAGACTGCAACACTGTTCGATGGCGAAGACGTCGTACAAACGCAGATATCCGCTCGCGCCACCTATCGCGCCGGGGCCCTACCTCCATCACCGACAGACGAAAAGGCGTCCGCGGAGTTTTCGGAGAAGGCGTAGTCCTAGATATTGGTTACACGGGGAACTCGCTACGCCATCTTTTTATGTCCTTACGAGATGTGTACACTGCAAAACAACACTCACGCGCTATCAAATATCTACGGTGCGACATCTGTATCGTTGTTTGTGACGTCGGCCAGTGCCGCGTGCCCAATTCCTGCGGCTGGCCCTCATTTGAAGTTGCGTTCATCTGAGCTACTCAACATCTCACGCGCTCACTATGAGAAGTTTCTCCGGGAGTAACAATTCAATCCTTTCAATATAGTCCCACTCATATCCCCAGGCATTCGCTATTGACTAGTCAAGTAGAGCCTTTCACTGACATGTGGCTTTTCCGTGCGGCGTTGACTGCGCGTCCCTCGGCGTGCGCACTGGCAATTCGGGCTAGTTCGGGACCGCGGGCCCTCCGGGATTCCGGACCGTTACCACAGCCGGTCCGTTGGTGGCTCAGATGGCCAGCGCCCCGGGTCCGTTGAATTTCAATGCTGAGTTCGTCTCTCCGCGGACTCGGAGCACAAACGACCAGCGTGACTGAGCAGCCCACAGAAACACAGAAACCCATGATGCGGGTCCTCTGCTCGAGCTCAAGATCTGCCTGTGAAAACTCCCCTCTAATCTTTGGCCCTAAGGCCGGCGTTCAATTGAGCGACGTCAGAGCTCCGGCTTCCCGCTTCCTGGCCACAGTAGCGAAATAAACGCGGCGCGAGTGAGTTGATCGGCGTGTTGCATACGCCGGAAGCTAAGGCATTGAACGCTGCCAGTGTCAGAGCTTATTGGTGTCGCCAAAGTATGTGACCAATGATTTGGCCGGATGCACAAGAAACTCAGTGACGGTGGTCCAGCTCGGACAAATGCGCCAGCACCGTATATATTATTCATGACTATGTAGAACAACGTGGAACTGTGTAGCAGTTCTTGAGGCTCGAAGCATGCCAGGGTCTTCGAGGACTTGGCATTGAGTAAATAGGGACGTTGAAAAATGAAGAAACCCGAGGCGGGTTTTTTGAGTTGATGTGCACCAAGGTCGCCTACCTAAAACAAGTCGAAAGACCATGGGTGGCCCAGGACGGCCCATGACACCCTGTCAGGGGTCGCCAACACACGAAAGAATGATATGGTTCATACA